AGACCATGAAACACTGAGTATACCCAAAAGGTATATGATGTACTTCCCTTAATTCAAACTGTAAGTACCACCTGAGGTCCTTGGGGCTGTCCTGTGCAGGGCCAGCAGTAGGACTTGAATGATCCTTGTGGGTCCCTTTCAACTCAGGATATTCTACTCAAAGTACTACATCCCTTTTAAAGACTCACCACCTACTCTCACAGAAGAAGCAGAAGTCTTCAGTGGACTGACAGCATGCTCTAGAAATATTTAGAAACCGGTGTGCTTTGTACAGTGTGAATAAGAACAGATTTTCTGCTTGAAAAGCTTTTTAAAGTTACAGTCAGGATGCAACACTTGAGGTTGCTGATCCAGGACACAAGCAGTCTAATTTTCTGCAGAAATATGCTTGAAATATTAGCCAGTTTGGGGTAATCGAGTTCTTAAAATAGAAACAGTACAGTGCATGCACGTTTACTAAGGGTTACATAAGCTGTGCATTAATTCCCTCACTATTATTCCATTTACAACCTCGCAGGAGATTCAGCTTATCATAACATGACACAGTTTACATCAAGCTCCTTATGCGGGCAGTTAAATATTGATATACATTGTTCTCATCACTGACAGCTGCACTTTTTTTGTCATTATCAAGATCAGAGGTAGAGGTAACGTATTTTATTAGATCTACCACAATGACTGCAAGAAGCAGGCAGCCTTTCAAACAGACAAGGGTTGGGGGTTTTTTACATCTTTTTTTGTCCTACATTTACTTCTAGACAGGTTTGGCTCTTGGAGCAGCAGGCTCATCATCTCCTACACTTCTTGGCTTAAGCTCTATAAGTAAAAATAAACACACCCATGAGACACAATAGACTACCCACCCCAAGCAGCCACGAGCAGAAATAAGCCTCCAGCAGCCCACTGTCTTCTCCCAGAGAACGAAAGGAATGAAAGAAGTAAGAGACGGTAACAGCCCTTTAGGAATGCGTGTATGGAGGCACACAGCGAGCCTGGAGAAGGGATCAAGCCCCATCCCATACCACCCCACCCCACTCCCTTTCATCCAGCCCCTTCCCCGGCGGGGGTCGGCCGGTGCCGCCGACACCTCGGCACCTGCCGCTGTCCCGGCGGGCGGATCCCGGCGGCCCGACCCCGGTCCCGCAGGGGCGCTCCCCGCCCCCCGCCGCCCCTACCAGGCGCAGCTGGCTCGTCTCATCGTAGGACAGGAAGCTGAGGATGCTCTCGATGGCCACGATGGGCAGCCCCATGAGCGTGTTGCTCTGCGGCGGCGGCTCCATGGGCGCCAGGGCCTCCGCGGACTCCGGGAGGGGGGCCGGGGAGAGCCGCGCCGAGCCCGGGGCGCCGCCTTCGCCCTCCGACACGAGCCGCTCCTCCGGCGCCGCCATCTTGCAGCCCGTCCTTCCTCCGCGGGGGAGCGCGGGCCGCCCTCCTGTGACGTCCCTTCCGCAACCGCCGCCAACGGCCCCGCCCGGCATTCCAGCCGGGAATGGGGGTGCTCGCCAGCGGCTGTTGGGCGCCAACTGGCCGGCGCGCGCGACTCGTTCCACGGAAAGCCCGTTCCACGGAAAGCCCGTTCCACGGAAAGCCCGTTCCACGGAAAGCCCGTTCCCAGGCGCGTGCCAAGAGGACGGTGCCAGACTCTCTTCAGTTGTTCTCGACGACAGGACGAAGAGCAAAGGGCATAAACTGAAACACAAGAGGTTCCACCTCAACATGAGGAAGAATTTCCTTACGTTGAGGGTGGCAGAGCACTGGAGCAGGCTGCCCAGGGAGATCATGGAGTCTCTCTCTCTGGAAACATTAAAAACATACCTGGATGCTTTCGTGTGTCACCTGCTCTAGGGGACCCTGCCTTGGCAGGAGGGTTGGACTGGATGATTTTCAGTGGTCCCTTTCAACCCTAATTATTTCGTGATTTTCATCCTGGACCACCCTCTCCATGAGGAGCTTTTCCCTAATACCCAACCTGAACTTCCCCTGAGATGGCTGTACAGCATCCCATCATCTCCTATGGTTGGAGAATGGAGAGATCATGATCTCCCTCTCCGTGCTCCCTCCTGAGGAAACTCTGTGAGAAGGGCCTCCCAAAACTCCATCACTGCTGCTGCCCAGGAGTCTGGCAGTGCTCACTCTGCTCTCTGGAGACAGCTCCGGCTGCACAGGCACAGTGGCCTCCCAGGAGAATGTGGGCGAATTACAGTGAGGCAGCTACAAGGTGGAAAAATACCTCTGTAGCACCTACATGAGGTGCAACTTCATCTTTATTACAAATGTAATCCAGGCTTTTATATTTTACCTATAGATGGGTGAACACTCTGTTTTGTGTTTTGAGTCCTACCCCCTCAGCAGCTGGGGTGGGCAGGGGGGGTTGCAGGTCTGCTGACAGCTTTTGGGGGTCAGAGCCAGCTGGGAAAAAACTCGGCTTGAAATCAGACATTATTGAGCAGGCGGAACACCGAGAATAAAGCAAACTCTGGTCCACTATTTTTTATCCTGCATATAAGGGAGGTTTCTTTGGTTGAATTGCTGGGGCAGCAAAGGGATGGGACCAAGGGCTGTTTCTAGAGCATTTACTGGTGTTTCTGAGCACAGACAAACCATAGTTTCACAACCATTTTAGCCTAACAGAACTTGTGACAGCCACTGAAAAGGATGGTACCAGCCTCCTCTCTGCCTTCGGCTGCTGCTGCTGCTTTGTTTCACATCAGCAGCGTTGGGCGTGTGCTTGACTGGGGAACTGGTGCTGCTGAAGACTGACTTGCCAAAGAAAATCAGTAGACGAATGCCAGAGGTGACTGTAGCAAAGCGTATGGGAAAATGCCATGCAATGTTTGGGGAGAATGGGGCCACTTGTAGTACCTGCACCAAGGTGGTACAGCTTAAAATAATACAGGATTAAAGGATTATCTGCCTGCTGCATCCCTGTTCTTTTTTTTTCTTTCAGTCATGCTGCTCCTCTTTGAAGTTTTATCTTAACCCATTTCTTTCATTTGTAACTCCCCCCTCTCCTCGGAAACCCATCTGCAACCTCTTTCTTAAAAAAAAAAAAAAAAGCAACGGGAAATGAATTAGCTTGGGAGCAGGGCACATGCAAGGGTAAGCCTTTATGTGTGTCATCCGAATGGCACTCCAAAAATGTGCACTGAAATTAATATTTCCTTTTTGGGAGCAGAACACTGTGTGCCTTGTACGGATCTGGAAGTGTTTTGCTCCCCGACCCCGCCCCTCAGCTCATCGATGCCGCTGTAAGATGATCCGGCTATCTTGCAACAAGGGTTTTATTCTTGAGCATGTTTTTCAGACCTGATCTCCTTTCACGTGCACAGTCAGCGGTTTAAGACACACTCAGGAGAATCCTTTATGAACTTGTGACTTGGCACATGAAGTTTGGTCTGGCAGTCCATTAATGCTTTAAAAGCAAGTGTTTTTTTCATCCTACCTAAGCATACGTAATTTAAGATTGTTTTAAGAATGCTTTTTTGGTTTTCATATCATTTGAACAATGCAAGTTTTTAAGATACAGCTTTATGTTTAATAAATATAAGTTGTATGTTCTGTGTGTTTATTATATCACCAAGCAGAATAAATTCATACAATAAACAATATATATTTTATACTAACTACAACTATATACATAGCTTAATAGTTAATAAGTCTACTTTAGTAAGTAGGCTAATTCTGCTGCCTCCCAGATTCTGGTTCATGTCTTTCCCCAGTGTATCCTGTGTCATTTTTCTGAGCATGCATGACTTTGCATTAATTTGCAAAAACGCAGTCCATATGCACTTTCACAAAATCCCATTGCAGACTCTCCAGTGGATGCACTTTTCAGGTATTTTGGGGTAGTGTGAAGCCAGACAACTTGATAATACTTCCCGAAAGGGATGAAATCAAGTTTTCTAGGGTCTATTGTATGTCATGTAACATGCAAACATTTTGTCATTATTTTAGAGGTCATGCAGGGTACATGCCTCATTTGTCTTATTTGGGTTGCCATTCATTTAGATTTCTGCAATGCTGGTAAGACCTTAAAAATCTTCAAATAGCCTCAGTTTTGAATTTACCATGTTAGAATTACAAGTATAGCTGGACTGAAATTTTTTTTAAATGTCTCAATAACTCACAAGATGGATGTTAAGAGAAATGTATTGTTTTGCTCCTTTTACATAAAAATTCTTATAATATTTTTATTTATGTTTGGGGGAATGAAATTTGAGTGTCTCTGTAGTTTGGACTGCATATATGAGGTTTAAAAGGAAGGCCGAGTGGACCAAGGACATCTGGTTTGCATTCTTTGTGGGAATATGCAAAAAATTTTTTATGTCACAAGTCTTTGTAAAATCTCATTATTTGGCTTAAAATTTGTCAGTGAAATTCTCAGATGTATCTATATTGAAAGATTCAACCTCTCAGCTTACTACAATCTTACAAGACCGTATGTATTTTGTGCTCCAAAGTGATTCAAGTCTGGTCTGTTGAGGTCAGCAGGGACTGTGAAATTTTATTGCGAGTATGTAGAATATTTTGTCTGGGCTCTGTGTGGAAATCAGCAACCCAAGAACCATGGTGAAGAGGAAGGAGCTGGGCTCAAATACAAGTAAAGTTGTAACTATCAAATATAAGAAAGCAGAAGAAACTCAGGGAAGGGGAGAAAGAGAGAGTGAGAAGCAGGAGCTTGCAAGCAGATATCTGGGCAAATAGGGTTGCGGGAAGAAATCTAGCAGCAGGGGTTGGAGGTGAGGGAAAGTGTGTAACTAGGTCAAGAAATGCCATGTTAATGAGGAATATTGGAGCAAAGAGGAGTAATGTGCTCAAAAACTGAGGGGAAGAGCAGAAGTTGGGTGGGAGGAGAACAGATTTGTTTTATTAAGTTAGTGTAATCAATAGAAAAATAGAAAAGGCAGTGGAAGCAGCAGTTTGCTCACTTTATGGATATTTGGGATTTTTTTGAAAGAAGTCTGGTCTATTCAAACAACTACATTTTCATTCAGCCTGCTGGACACTGAGGCAGAGTAAAGTCTTTCTTGCTGAAAGGTCTTTTTTTGACAGGCATTAAAAAATAAATGGAAAAAAGCTATATTTAGAGTTCCCTTTAGAATGTTTTTATTAAATGTAGAAGGAGTGTAAATTTGAACAGAATAATCTTTTGCAGATGAAACTTTTATTCCATTAATAGGTAAATTAATAAATATTGTTATGTGGCGTTAGCTTCAGATATCAATGTAATCCCAGTTTAATTAAATCAATATAAGTATTTAACTGGATCCTTTGCAGTTTAATCAGTTTTGGACCCAGAGTGCTACATGTTAAATAAAAAAGTGGTTGAGAAACTGACTCTAAAATGTACATCTACCTCTTAATTTACTTGTAATACTGTACATTTGGCTTCTGATAGGAACCATAAGCTGAAGCTGAGAGGCAGAAGAATATGATGCTCCATGAGAAATAAGAGGTAGAAGCAAAAGGAAAACAGGTAGAAGACAGGGTGAAAGAAAATTACAACCTCTGTAGATTTTTCTGAACTAAAATTGTGGGGACTAGACTAATCCTGAGCAGCTTTTGTAGGCCAGGCACGTTGCACAGCCAGGCTCTCATTAAATATGTTTTCCTCTTAAATTTAAAAAAAAAAATTTAACTAAAATTTTCAAATCCAGAAGAAAATCGGGGTTTGTAGATGTGTAATAGGTAGACTGATGTACTTGGAGGACAAAAAGTGTAAGGGTTCAGACAAATCCCCTTTCTATTTTCTAGGAGTAAAAATACCTTACCTGAAAGACGACTGCACATGTTTACACATCCTCACACAGATGTACTCAAAAGTAAGCTTGGTGAAAAAACTTACATAAACAAAAAGGAGGTTTTAATTGATTAAAATTTAATTACATGACTTTTGCAAATTCTCTGTATTATTCTCTTGCAGGATGTTTGCAAGCCCTAGGATAGAGAGTCACTTTCCACCACTAAGAAGGGCTCAGTTTTGATGTAAGTTCCAAGGAATTCCTTGATTTTTATATATTACCATGTATTTACTCTACAATAAAGATAATTCAGTGAAGACATCAATAATGTCTCTATGCCTCATCAGTTCATCTCAGTGAAACATCACTGACATGACAAACTACACCAATATTGTTGATGTACAAGATAAAGATGGCTCCCAAAATGTCCATTGTTGGTTGTAGACTATTTACCCATGTCTGTCAGGGTTATCTAAAGCAGAGTTTGATTTGCTGAGGCGAAGCACTACAGCTCTGTGTGAGAAGGTGCAAAGAAAATAGATAAATTAACCAGGAGAACATGTTTACAAAGATGTGGTGTGCTCAGTCCTGCAGTCACTTTACAAAAAAGAAATCGTGGGGGGTCTGATATTGAAATAATTTTGGTTTTTCTCACATCCTTCTGGTTTCATTCTCTCTTGACTCCAGAAGGACTGCTAGCATAAGCTGTCTGGCTTCTTGGCAGCTGAGCAATAGGGACAAGGCAACAGTAAAATGGCACTATTAATTTAACTGTTCACATTCTCTGAACAGCCATCTGGGACAGAGGTTCAGTGTCACTCTGTGGCCAACCAGTGTCCTAAAGTTTCTGGTAAGGAATGGGATTTTGATCACAGTATTCCTGTTTGCAACAACTGAATATGTTTGTGCTTAATGAGCATATTTTTCAGTTCCTTCCCTGTTCTTGCTCACTGCCCAGCTCCCTGCTGGGGCTGGATGAGCGGCTGCAGGCAGATACAGCTTTCTCACATTGCTTAATTGCCTTAAACAGACGTTTTGTTACAGAGGGGCTCCTGTCAGGATCTGTGCTGAGACAAATTGACAGGAATCCAGAGTGTGTCTAGTGAATATAATTTAGTTATTGAGAAGAATGGCAGCTGTGTGTGATGCATACAAAACACTAATTTGTGCCAGCCTACATTTTGTTCAAAGATGCTGGGGACTAATGGAAGAGGAAGTTTGTTTCTCCTCTTTTTCAGACACAGTGCAGACTTGCTTTAGCTGACTAGTTGTTAAATTACCTGTGAGGGAAAAAAGCCACACTGAATTTAAATTACATAGAAAAGAATTTAGAGTGAGGAAATTAGAATTTTCTTTGAGCAAGTAACTTGAGAAGTTGGAGAAGCTTTAGTTTACTGAAATTAATTCCTGGCTGATCTGGAACAAACAGAAGACTTTTGTTTACTGTGAGTCATGCTTGTGTAGAGTGATATTAGTGACACTTTCTGCTTTTATAGAATCATCCTTTGAAACTCTTTTTAATGATCTGCTTAAGAGCTGAATAGGTTGCAGCAAAATTGATGCAAATTTCTAAAGTATTTTCTCAGTGCTGCTGGTTTCCAAGTGCTGCTGGCTCTGTGCAATTATTAATTTACTGAGTAACATGATTGACTATGTACTTTGTGCAGTGGGTGCATGTGGGACTCTCACAACTTAGATAATGGGATTAGTTTACAGAGAGGATGAAAGTTAAGCAGGAAATAATTTTTAACTAACTTTAAAGTTACAGAGTCTGAACTTCTTGTCTCATGTAGTTGCTTAGGTGTGTTACCAGTTTATTATATATAAAGTGACCATGAAGTTTATGTTCACTTTGTGTAGTAGTAAGTGCTTTCACAAGGCAAGAGACTGGCTCTCATGCCTTTGAGTGAGGTAAATGTAACTCAGCTGTTCCTCCTGTTGTGAAACTCTAGTTTTTGTTTGAGCTGTGGCATAGGAATGTGACAGAATATGATTATTTGTTTAGATTTTGAATCAATATAATCTCTGTGTGGATAAGGAAGTATATGTCACAATCAAAATGGACTTTGACAACAAAACATACTTTTCAACAAAACACAAACCATCCAAGTAGGGGCCTGATGATGTTGTGCATTAAGTATGCACTGATGTGATAAGCTTCCTAAAGGGGATTACAGCTGAAGAGACTCATTTCAGTTGGCAGACACAGATGTTTTAGAGAGAAGTAGCTTGTCACCAGGAGGAAGGTGTGTCCACTATCACTCCTCAATGTCCAAGGAAACCTTTACGCTTAGAGAATTAGACTGATGCAAGTTGTGGCAAGCCACTGTTTCTTAATTTAAAATTTACACCTGCTAAATGCTTCTTGATGTACTGCTTTTAATATGACATAGACCAAAGGCTTTTGCTTTGGAAGCAGCCACTGGGGTAACATGGGATGTCCTAGCTGATGTTGATAGCAGATTTCTTTAAAGAGTTCATAAATCTCATCTGCAGACTTTGGAACTTGGTCAAGCATGGAATGGGCTGCCCAGGGAAGTGGTGGAATCACCATCCCTGGGAGTGTGCTTAGGGACATGATTTAGTGGTGGACTTGGGTTAATGGCTGGATTTGATGGTATCAGAGGTTTTTTCAGCCTTAATGGTTCTATGAACTAGTGAACTTCTTTTTTTTTTCCAGCTGGGAGATACATCAGTTGTTGTTGTGTGTTTTCCCCAAAACTGTTTCTTCTGTAAGGTCTGCTTTTTAATGTTTTTAAAACAAATTAAATAGTAAAAATGTGACAATAAATAGTGAAAATTAATCTAAAAACAACTAGAGGGCAGCTGGTGGATTAGCAGAATGGTACGAAGGTGCTGAAGGTGTAAAACCATCAGTTTTCTTTTCTATAGATACTTTTTCTCTTTGTGAGGAAGTTTGAAAGCACGGACTAGTCAAGGCCTTTGCTTTGAATCACTGTCTGGGAAAACCTTATCTTGAGCTGGAGACTAGCTATATAAATTAGGTGCCAGAAGTTCAACATGGCTGCAAAGAATCCAGACTTGTGAGGCTACTGTGGCCCAGCCCGAAGAGTTTAGGTGAGTAATTCTCTTGGCATGTTCCTTTTTTTTTTTTTTCCTCCACAGCAATCTCAATTCCAAAGCTTTCTCTTCTTCCTGAGCTCTTAAATTATATCCCCTTATGAATCAGAGCTCAAAAGTCTGACTTGGTGGAGTTTTAACAGTAGGTGGCAGTGGACTGCAAATCTAAACCAGCTGCCTTCCTGCTCCTCTAACACTGATGCTGTTCTGTTGATTTCTGACAAACTTCTGAAATTACTGACTTAGAAACAGTCTAAAAATCATATTCACAATGTTTTTTCTAAAGAATTAAAGGGTTTATTAAAAACAACGAGCAAGTACAGGTTGGTTTGTTTGTTTGTTTGGGGTTTTTGGTGGTTTGTTTTTTTTTTTTTAATTTTTACATATTAGATATGTTACTTGATAATACCTCTAATTATGTCAGGACTGTAACAAGGGACTTTACTGGTCTGGAGGCAGTTTCAAGCAGTCTGGTAGAGCAGAAGATGAGAAGTTACTGTTAAAATTGCTTAGATACAGCGCTGAAGGAATTAACTGGAGTTTTTGGGTTGAATGGTGTGCTGAGGGCATGAACTACAGCAGCGTGTTCCCAGCCCCCTCCCACTGATCCCATTGTACGACAAGACTAATGGCAAGAAAAGATGATGCTATTGATTTCTACTGGTTATCATTACCAGTTCTGCCTGTAATGTGTTTCTGATACTGCAAGTTTCCGTGGTTCAGGTCGAGTAGATCTCTCCTGGAAAGAAGAATCATTCTGCCACATTTTTGTTTAGTGGTTTGGTGGCGTTTCTTCTCCTTTTTTTGGATACTTTTCAAGCCATTCCATGAGTATTAATTTCCCCTGAACCCTTGCTGTGACTGCTTCTAGGGAACTGCATGTGGTCTTAGTCAACTGCAGCATTCTCCGCTCAGGCCGCCAAAAGTAGTGGGAACCAGGGAAGAGGTGCAGAGCTTCAGCTGTGCCGTTGGCTCCAGATCCTGTGGATCTCCTCTTCTCTTCCTTTTTGTGATAGCTCCATGTATGCAGGACTGGGAACAGCTGCCCCTTGCCAATTCTCCTGTGTGTGACCCAGTTATCTCCAACTGTTGACACGCTGGAGGTTGAACTCGCGGTCAGAAACCCTCACGTACTTCTGCCCACTGGGGGGGAACCACTGACTCCCTGCTCATAAACCTAAAAACCTTTCCTGTAATTAATAACCCATCGTGGGAAATTCATGTCATGCTTACCTAGTGAAATCATGCCTGAATTGCTGTGAGAGGCAGAGATGTGATGTGCTGTAGGGAAGGCGAGCAGTGCTGCTGAGATGGGCACGGGTGCAGGTGGTTTTGACCCCGCTTTACCTGCAAACCTGGCGAGCACTGTCCCCTCTGCTGGAGAGGAGCTGGGATCTAAAGGGAGAGACCAGATGGCACTGTGAGCTTTCATCACAGTGTATGAGTCACAGAGCCTGGACAAAAACTGGAAATAAATAGGTGCACCCCTTGGAGCTTCATTTCCGTAGCAGGGATGGGGTTGTAGATTTGTGTGGAAGATGTCAAAATTAGAACTTGAGCCAGAAGAGTCTTCTGTGCATTGACCTGCAAAAGGCATGCACTAGCAAGATGTAGCTACCACATACATCATCTGAAATATCCTTTCTATTTGATTTTTGCCTAACCATTTCCAGGTTTTTTTTACAGGCTTAGAAATTGATGTTTTAATATTCTAACTATTATTAGAAATTATTTGTGTCTGTACTTAAGATCATACTCCTTATTTTATCCCTTACCAGCTAGATGCTTCTAAAAATTCATCAGAGATTTGCAGAATCATTGGCTGGAGTGTGTCCAAAGGAGGGCAATGAAGCTGGTGAAAGGTCTGGAGCACAAGTCTTATAAAGAGGAGCTGAGGGAGCTGGAGGTGTTCAGCCTGGAGAAAAGGATGATCAGAGGGACCTTATCACGCTCTACCTGAAATGAGGTTGTAGCGACATGGGGGTTGGTCTTTTCTGCCAGGTAACAAACAATAAGACAAGAAGTAATAGCCTCAGGTTGCACCAGGGGAGGTTTAGATTGGATATTAGGAAAAATTTCTTCACTGAAAGAGTGGCCAAGCATTGGAACAGGCTGCCCAGGGAAGTGGTGGAGTCACCATCCCTGGAGCTGTTCAGGAAATGTGTAGGTGTGGTGCTTGAGGACATGGTTTAGTGGAAGATGTGGCCGTGTTGGGTTAATGGTTGAGGACTCAACGATCTTCGA